ATTTGAGGAACTGAACAAGTCAGTCCTGRGGCAATCAATATCCATCTTCTCTGTTCTGATGTAAGAAAATTGGTTTTTACTTGGTTGCTACATTAGTTAAAAATTAATTACTTTTATTTGCATTYCAGTAACAATCCCAATTAAAGACTTGGTTGTAGTGTGCTGGCTGCTGTGGGGAAATAGCAAGGAGAGATCCTGTCCTAAGGCACTTGCAGCCCATGGGGTAAATTGATTGCAAAGTCTCTCTGACCACAAGGCAACATGCCATATCCACTCTGAGGCACTTTGTGATATAACAACAACAAAAACAAAATAATACAGCATTTAACTTAGTGAAAGAAGTAGAAATATGATGGCTTTAAACCTGCTTAAAAACAAATGAGATTTTTTTTTGTTAGAGTTAATATTGAATGTGTTTATAGAGCACTTTTACAGTACTGATTTCTGGTAGTAAGTGGTGCATTTTAAATTACTAGGCTATACATTATATACATATACACATATATATATGTATACATATACATACTCCTCTCAGCAAGTTATCCCAATATTACATAACAGGTTGTGCAAACATGTTCCAAAATAGTTGGYAGGTTTTGTGTGCATTTTGTCAATTCAACCTTTTCCCCATGGTTCTCTTGTAACCCATGGTGACTGCCCTGGGGACTCATCGGTACCCACAGATTATTACTTCCTGAGAAAGTCATTACTTTGCTAACACTTCCACTTAGCTGAATCAGACTCTCTGAAGAGAAAGCAATTTGTGCAAAGAGTTGCAAGGATCAAGGAACGGTTACTAAGCAGAAATGTAGTCTATTATTTTCCCCAGTTATAGCCTACGCAGGAGCTCGGTCCTGTGAAAAGTTCTTTTCTCGCATAGCAGTGGATGTTCTCCCAAGAAATTGCTTCATTGTAGGGGCTCATTGTGACTCTTTCCTTTTTTCTTTCCTCTCAGAAGCCATTCATCCTATGAACAGTACATACACTTCTAGAAAAAGGCTTTTAATCTCRCCACCTGCAGTGCTTCATGAAATTATTTATTACTTTTCTCCCTCTCTTCATCCATATCAGGTTATCCTGTTCCTCATTGCCCAAGCCTCAGCAGTGTACTGGCAACAAGTTACAACCACCTGCATTTGTGGCTGTTGGTGACTTCTTGTGGTCTAAGTCACTTTTCATGAATCTAAGACCATTTCTCTTTTTTTTTTTTGCTATGTTATAGCAACTAATATTATTCTATATGTCTTCCTAGGAAGATTATTTTCAATTAAACTTATTTATAATGGATGTAAAAATCAAGTAGCGAAATTAACAAATAGTCTAAGAAAGGACCATCTGAAACAGGAAAAATGGAAAAGCAAATGAGAAAGTTYAAAACCCTCAATACTTCCCTTTCAATTTGATAATATTTTAGTTTACAAAATGCTTTGGTAAAGGTACAAATATTTGGCTACAGAAATACATATAGTTCCAATGAGAGCAGGYACAGAAAGATAAATGTACTGGCTGAAAAAAGAGAAGCAAATGATGAAATTTGTGGTGGTATGTGATTACTAAGATTAATAGATGGTAGTTACTAAACCTTTCCTCATTGATACACTCTCTGATCCTGTATACACTGTATTCTTTCCATCCCTGAGTGATTTCTTTATATTTTGATGTACAGTTCTGTTGTTTTTTTCTACTTAACTGCGGTTGACAACTGCAACCACCTCTTACTGCTTTTGTCTTTTTCTCAAAATATTTATTTCATCCTATGTCTACTTCCCTCTCTTCCCAGAATTTCACCAATTTATTCCAAGTGAAAAATGACAAAGTACCACTTCATCCTCTTTTCCCCAACCTCGTTGGTCTGSTGCCCCCTTCCCTGGCTGCCTCCTCCCTTTCTGTGTCCCAGTTCCAGAGTCTTTCTACTTTGAATTACATCAATGTCATCTCCCATTTGCCCATCTCTCCCAACCTGATCTTGTCCCCTTCCTTACTCTTCTTTTTTGTCTCTCACTCTTGGGTAGTTTTCAGTTCTCACAATAAAGACATGTTTTCCTCTTCATGTCTTAAACCCATACTTGACCTCWTTTGCCCCTCCAATTGCTCCTTCCTCTCCCTTTCATCTGTAAATTCACTTAAAGTGCTGTTTCTAGTCCCTGGAGTACCTCTCCTTACCAGTATTCCTTCCCTGATTCAAACCTTACCCTATAACAGCTCTCCATKAAGTACTTTATGACTTTTGAGGCACTAATTGGGAACACTGTGTTTTCCTCAGGTTCCTTAAACTGCTGCCACCATAGCTCTGATGAAGAGTGAATCTTACCCTGACTGAAGTCCTACTTATCCTTTCTTGCTCCTACTTGTCTGCCCATTCCTCATCCCCTTCCTTCTAATCTCTTCTGCAAGATTTTATTGTTAAGCTTTTCATGCCCTAACAAGTCTCTATTGGTCTTGAGCATTGTTCTCTTCTCCTTATCTCTGGTATTCTCACCTCTACACAAAAATTCAATTATCACATGTTTCTAGGAAGAAACTACTCATCTACTTTTTTATTATCTYCTATTCAGTGTTAGATCTTGGACTGCTTGCCTTCTGTTTATGATGTTTAGGCACCAACTCAAGGTAAAGATAATGCTAAGTGTGGGTAAAAWGCTCTGTTTAGCTTTCACTGCTGGAGAAAACACTGTTACCTGTCAATCAATCTTACCTGTCAGCATCATCTTGAACCTCTTTAAATTCCTTATCTAATCTTCTTTAATACAGTATTCCATAGACCCAGTCACCTTCAAATTCTCATAATTTCCCATTAAACTACTACTGAGCATTTCTTTAGCCTTCAGGAGTACAACATAGACCCTTTGTGACTTCTACCTCCCTATCACATTTTGGTCAACAGAGAGTTGTGATCTCCCTATTCCAGCTGGYCTGTGAAGCCCACCTTTGTGAATTTTCATTCCTGCACTTTCATAATTTCTTCCTGGTGCTTTGTTACCTTCTATAAAAGTCTGTAAAGCTTCTTCTTTTCATCTGAAGCTGCCTATAGACATTTACTGCTTTATATGGAAATTATAATCGATTTTGGGCAGGAACCATTCATACAATATCTAGCACAATGAGTTTCTAGATCTCTAGGCTGAGATTTCTAGATACTGCTGCAATATGTAATAATTCYTAAAACATTTTAAACTGCACATCAGATCAGAGTTTTTCAATCCCTTTCCCGTCCCTGTCCCTTGTGTAACACCTCAGGTGCACAGTTAAGGATGTAGTATACTGATGAGAACTGGGAAATTCAAACTTGCTGGTCTGTACCTGTGTAGCCCACCCTCTCGACAGCTTTTTGTGTATCAGAAGGCATCAGAGACAATGTGGAAGAAAGCTGCGTCTTCCCAAATTTCAACCGATTTCCTAAATCTCGCAAAAGAAAAAGCCACGTATTCCACAGCAAGAGCCTCAAGGACCAAGTTTTCTTCCCTGTTGGCAGCATTGTTCCCCAGCTGCTCTGTGCGCTCGCTCGTAGCCGAGCTCCGCCGTGAGCGGTCTCTCGGAGCCCGAACCAGCTGAGAGCGCAGAGCCCGGAGCCGGCGGAGCTCTGCCCGCGGGGCCGCTCCCGGCGCTGCCCGGTCCCGGGGGCCTCTCCCGGCGGGGCTGGCCGGGCAAGGAAGGCGCTCCGAGCGGTCCTCAACGCCGACTTCGGCGCCAGCATTTCTTGGGRGACGGAGCGGCGGAATCCGCTCTCCTCACAGCAGGAAAAGCGGGAGGGTCGGCGCTCGCCCCCCTCCATGCGCGCACTCCGTGTGGGTGCAGGTGCACAT